TTTTTAAAAAAAGATAGTTAGCTCCCGTTTGGACCACCTTATTTTCTCATTAAAATGAAAAATATGACCGTTATCCATCACATCAACATTTAAATTCAAATTTTCTATCTCTTGTGTGGACCTCAATAACGACTATATTTTTCATTCTCATTCTATAATAATTTGGCTCAAACAGAGCCTATACATCTTTCAACCCCACACCTCCTGGTCAGAATTCTTTCCTGCCCATTCCTTCTTCCTCACTTCCCAGTCCTCATCTCTCTCTTTCTCACTTTGCAACATCTTCCTTATCACCCCCCCCCCCCACCCCCCTCCCTTTCCCTTTCCAAATCTCTATCTCCATTTTTCATATTTTTCTAATTTGATTTTTATTGCCAAGGGATGGTGCATGTGTTGTGTAGATTTTGAATTTTAGAAGTAAGAATAATGTTGAGCACACTTTTTTAGCCCCAGTTTGACCCACATTAATATTTTTATTCTCATCATTCTACTCATTTTTAATCACACATTCTTCTATAAAATAATATTTTTCATTACATCAATAATTTTTCCTTCTTTTTCAGCCACACATTCTCTATCAATCTACTATTCCAAAATACATTCTTTCAAAATAATGTGTCTCAAATACACCCTTAAATTTAAAACGTTCAAATTAAGGGTTTAACGGTTGTTTATTTTAATTAAAAAAATACTTTAATCATAAGATTTGTATCTTTTCTTCTCACCATTGTTCCAACTTTTCATTCAGAATTCTAAAAATGTCAATATTGATAATAAAGATAAAAAGTCTAATTCCCGTGTCCCATTAGAAAGTGACGTTGGATTTGTATTTCCATTATCGAGTTAATGTCTTCTTTGACAAACTACATCATCGACCATAGTTTTGCCAAGTGCTTTACATATGCAGGTGGCATAGGTCCTCGGGAAGCGGTGAGGGAGGTAGCCTATTGTGAAGGGTATCTCGTGTTAGATTTTTTATTAATTTATTATCATTGTCGGCCTACACACATAATTAATTGTGTATAATATTATTTTAAAATTGAGATTAATTAAAGTGATCTAATAAAAAACTAATTGTAGGACTTAAGACATCTAAAACCTTGTCTGCTATCAATTCTCCTTCTCCCTCATAATTGATTATCATGCCGT